GAAAATGAAAAGAAAAAGAATTAAAATTGGAAGATTATGATATACGATATATTATTATTGTTATTATCAGTTAAAAATTATTAATCAAGTTAAAAATTTTCTTATTTATTTTTTTTATGACTTAACAAATGCAGTCAAAAAAAAAAATGAAAAAAGGAAAGGTAAAAAAGAAAAATACTAAAAAATTGATCAAAGCATACAGGATTTACATAAAAATACGTAAACAAAGACACAAAGGAGAAAGGGATACAATATCTAAAATTGATCAAAATGATCTCAATGATGATGTAATAGGCAAATTATGTAACAAAGATGACCCACTTAGATCTACCATTTGCTTTATGGTTCCGTGCGAAATTACGCAAATTTAAAGTGTCCCCATTTTTGGTGATAAATATTACGAAAAGGAAATTCGAAAATGAGCATGTGAATCTATTATAAAAAAATTTTTTTTATGATTATTATTATTATAGTTTATTATAGTTTATTATTAATTTATTAATTAATTTATCAATTTTATTAATTATTATTATATTTTTACCATAGTCGATTGTTATTATAATAATAATAATTATTATTATAGCTTAAAGTTATAATTATAATTATTATACGAATCCAAAGAAAAAAAAACAATCAACTTAAAAAAATAAATTCGGTTAGCTTTATCATTTAATATTTTTAAAATCAGGTTGAAATCACCTTGAAATCATCTTTTTCCCTTTGATGAAATTCTTTTTCATAAATTTGTATTTGGATTTTTTACATTTTTCTCGAATAAATACGAATAAATACGAACACACATACACATATACGTAATCAATTAAAATGATTAAAGTAAATCAAAAAATGATTTAAAATGATTAAATGATTAAATGATATTTAATGCGTGGGAACTTAATTTTTTTTTAACTAACTAAACTATTTTAATCAATTCTTTAAATTAATGAACAACGAACGGTGGCGAAGAATGTGATTTTTAAATAATATATACATACATACAGTAATAATATTAATAATAATGAAAAATAATAATAATGATGATAATAAAATGAATGGACAAATGAAAATAGCAAAAGGTGGATTTTTATGCTACATTTCGTCATCTTATACATCTTATACTTCGTATATACACACTGATACGTCGTATACACTTTTTATTCACTTTCATACTTCTTTTAATAGATCTAATACATCTTTTACATTTTATATATCTTGTACATCATTTACCTTATAGATTTCTTCTTTTATACATCTCATACATCATATGTACATGATACGTAACTCTATATACTTTATATACTTTATATACTCCACTTCCCTTTTTTTGATTACAAGATAAGCAAGATAAGTAAGATAAGTAAGATAAGTAAAATAAATTGGATAGGTTAGATATTATTATTAAACATGAAATGAATGTGCAATTAAAATAATTAAAATTGACTCTTTTGAAACATTTTATACATGCAATCTAATATAACATTTGTAATTTATATATATTATTTTTTTTTTAACTTATTGTTATTATTACTATTATTACTAACTAATTATGATGTGCATATGATATTTTATCTTCACACTTTATAAAGCAAGCAAAAAAAGTAAATAAATAAATAAACAATTATTTATCTTTTATTTACTTATTCACTTTCTAACTTACTGTCCTGTTGTTATACTCATCTGACACTATCAATTAAACTATAAAAAAACCCTTGCAGCTATTTTTACTAAAGTGGATTTGAACAGTTTTTTTTTAATGATTAGAGAAAAAAAAATTTTTTGCTTCCCTGACTGACTGATTATTGAGAGAATGTTGTTTTTGTTGTTGAAAAAAAATGAATAAAAAATTTAGGAGGTGAAACATAAAACATATAAAGGTAACATATGAAATATAAAAAAAAAAAATAAATAAATATAAAGAGACATAATAGAAAAATAAAGAGAGAGATATAAAGAATAGATATTTTTAAATAGAGTTATGATCTTCAGTATTACTAAAACTCTATTACCTTATCCTATTTTTCATTATTTTATTACTCTATTCTGCCGACATTATTCTATCTATCTATCTATTATCCTATTATTTCTGATATAATTATTATCTTATTTTATATAAATTAATATATTATTATTCTTATTATTATTTATTATTATTATTATTATCCATTATTTAATGTTAATAATAAATAATAATAATAATATTATTATCAATTAATAAAATTATTACTAAAAAATAAAATGGCTTTTTTGGGCTTAAAAAAAAAACACACATTCTCCGAATGAAAATAATAAACAGGATATTAAATAATAGTATGAAATTGAATTATATTACATTATGTTAAATATTGTGCATGATATGACCGCATAGTGCATATTGAACACCGAAACATTCCGATATATCTATATTGGTACGTGTATGGTGTATGGTGTTGAATATTATTTTTTATTGTTGTTTGATTGAATAATAAATGAAGTTGTGATTATATTATATTATTTTCTATTCTATTATATTAATATTCTATTATATTCTATTATATTATTTATCTCTATTCAATTATTTTGGGATAAGTGCGTAATTTGATATATACATGTATTGCATATTACATTGTATTACCTGTTACATGTACATATATTGCATAATTGATAAGATTAGATCATGCGTATTGAAAAACAAGTTATTACTTTTTCAATTTACTTATTTATCAGTTACTTTTTACTTAAAGGAAAATAATATAATTCTCGGTGTTACACGCCGCTTTCTGGCGATCATAATTATAGTAGAGTTTCATGCATATAAATCACGTGATACGCTTATATATATACTATACACACATGTGACTGAATGATTTTAAATAATGTTAGTGTATTTTTTTTTTTTACTACAAATTTCAAGAAAATTCTTGTTTTGTAATTATAATTTTTTTTTACATCTTTACATTCTTTATATGCAGATGTGCTAATGCAAATTTTTTTTTTTTTGTAAAGGTTGTAATACCACTCCACTTATAATTAAAACTTTAACTAAACCAAATGTTAAACCAATATCAACCAATACTAATTAATCTAAGTAAAACTTGAATTGTATCTAACTTGAAACTTAATTTGAAAATATCATGTAGGTGAACAAAACAATAAACTAGAATTAGAACAAGAACTAAAACTAGAACAAGCACTAAACTTGAACAAGAAAATGTAGAAAATTTTTTTTTTTGGTTGTTAGTAGATTTAAGGAAATTTCAAATTGATTGGTCAAATTTTTACGGGGCTTTTTATTCTCATCGTAAAAAAAAAAAATAAAAATAAATTATTTTAATTTATTAATTCTAATTTTTATTTATTTGTTCTAAATTAATTTATAATACTTTTTGTAATAAATTAGTAATATAAATATATTGTAAATATTTTAAAATAAATAGGAAAAACCAAATTCAAGTTTGGTTAATCAATTACTATATTAATGACATAATTTACAGTTAAACTATTGATATATGTCGTGATTGTTTTTATACCTCTATGTTGATATATGTCTCGTTATATTGATGATTTTTGTGCGTGTGTAAAAAAAAAAATAGTATCCTGATTTTTGAAATAACTACTTTTTAAAGAAAATAAAAAAAAAAAAAAAAGATTATAATAATTGAGGAAGAAAGGGAGAAGGAGGAAGAGGAAAAGGAAAAAAAAATAAAAGGAACAAGGGATTTTAATTTTATGTTCTCTAAGAAGAAAATTAGAACAACGCAACGTTGTTTTTATTTTATGTATAATGACAACACAATTTTCCATAGATGGTTTATTTAATTAAACATGTGGTTTACAAGATTTTACATTTTTGGAATTAAATCTCAATGAGAAAAAATGATTTTAATGATTTTTAATGAATTTTTAATTATCAATAATAAATTTCAAAAAGATTTCTTTTTTTTTTTTTGATGTTCTATTCTACAAAATTGGATTATTATTATTATTATTATTATTATTATTATTATTATTATTAAAGGTCCAGTAATAATAAATTAATTATTCATTGTCATTTTCCTTTATTTTTTTTAAAGAACGAGAAAATAGAAAATCTTAAACATATAAACATAAAAAATTATACTCCAAACAAAAAACAAAAAAAAATTTTTATATACAAATAAACACAAAGTTCATCATATACGTAATAAGCAAAAAAAAAAAACTCCTTGAAATTGATTTTTAAATTTTAAATTTTTATTATTATTATATTTTTATGTTTTTTGTTTTTTTTTGTTTATACATTCGGGTACCAGTCAATAAATTCGGTGATACTCGATAAATTCTCTTTTAAAAATTCTTTACATTTATTTTATTATATTTGCTATTTACTATATTTTTAATACTTTTTATTATATTATATATTTATATTTCACCACATTCACATTCATTTATTTCTACCAATACGAAATCATCTTCCAAATTAATTGATTTCATTAAGATTTCTTCGGCCCTTTTAACTAATTCAATTTTTCTATTATAAATAATTTCTGAATCATTACTATTTATATTATCTAATTGTTTTAATAATTCTTGTATTTTGATTTTTCGTTGTCGTTCTTCTTCTTGTTCTTGATGATTATTATTATGATTATTATTATTATTAATAGAGTATTCCAAAATTTGAGATAATAATAATTCGAATTGACGTAATTGAATAAGTCTTTCGATTATTTTTTGAGTTCGTTGCCTACGAACATGATGAATAATAAAATTATTTATTTTCAATGCAGATCTACTTTTTTCTACTAATTGTCTTAAATCTTTACATCGATGAGTTTTATTTTTATGACTATTATTATGTTGATTATGATTATGATTATGTTGATTATGATTATGATGATGATGATGATGATGATTATTATTATTATTATTATTATTATTATTATTATTATTTGGTAAAGATGATGATGATAATAATGATAATGATGATAAATATGATGAAGGAGAAGGAGATTCAAATCGTGAATTAAAGGAAGATGAATCACTCATACTACTATAAGTGCCACTACTATTTGTACTACAATTTGATGATGATGATGATGATGATGATGACGTAATGGAAGAACTAATGGATGATGAAAATTTGGATGAATTAATAATATTATTAATATTATTATTAATAATGTTTATTGTTTCAGAGGAATTATTATTATTTTCATTACAACAAATTCCTGCTGCTTTGGCTTTACGTTCATAAAATTTTCTTAATGCATCTCTATTTTGTTCTTGTTTCTGTAATGACTGTTGTTTTGCTCTCTCTCGTAACTTTTTTTCCTTTTCTGCACATAATTTATGAATTTGTTCCTGTTTCATTCGTAATTTTTCTCGTTGTTCTAATTCAAATTCTGCCTTTTTACGTTTTTGTTCAATATCTGATAATTTTGAAACTAAATTAAATATTGAACAAGAATTGTAATAAGATTCAGAACGATGATGACTTCGTGAAGAACATGAAGAATTATTTTGAGGTGCAAATTTAACTTTAGAATTTTTATTCTTAATATTATTCTTATTGTCATTATTATTATTATTATTATTATTATTGTTCTTGTAGTTATTCTTGTTGTTGTTGTTGTTATTATTATTATTGGAAATAATAGAACGACGAGACGAACAATTTGAAGTTTGAGAACATTTTTCAGAGAGGTATTCAGATTCCACTGGATTATAGTAAGAGGCAAACATTTTTTAAAATATATATTAAAAATATAATGAAGGTTAGATATATATATAATTATCAGATTTTATATATGTCTTTGTTCTTTAAAGTTTATTTACAAATTGAAATGAATAATAATATTTTTTTACACTTCTTTGAAGCGAGTTTATATATATAGTTATTTTTTGAAAAATTCTGAAATTTGGGAAAAAACTCTGCCCCTTTTATATTAAAAAAAAAAAAAAGTGACTATAATTTAAAAATATATTTTAAGCGGATAATATATTTTTATTTTTATTTTTATTTTTTATTCTTCATTTCATTATACTAAAAATATTTTATAATAATATAAAATATTATCATAATCATATCATAATCAGTTACGTATATATATAATATATAATAATATATAATATATATAATATATATAATATATCATATTTATATTTTATCAGTTATTATAAGTTATTCTTATTATAAACATACATCATATTATTATAAACATCATATTATTATTTTTATATTATAAAAATATGCAAGAAAAAACCACCCAACAAACATGATTAACCACAACATATGATTTATATAACGCGATTACAGATGATTACAAAAACAAGAAGATAGAGTTTTTTGATAAACCTGTTGTTAGACTTTTAGGTAGAATCTGTAATCTGTATACTACATAAATAATATTAATATAGTGTGAAATAGTTGAAATATCGTAAAATATAGTGTGAAATAATTGATTATAAATAAATCTATATATATATTATTTGAGTATAATATATATTATTATTATTATTATTATTATTATTATTATTATAATAAAGAATGGTATGAAATAAGGAAATAGAGACAGAGCAATTGAATATAATTGAGTATAATCGAGTATAATAGTGCATAACAATAATACTATAATATTGCATGAACAGGGTGACACAAGTAGTACAATCAGTACATCATCGTACATCGTCTTAATTTATTCGAAGTCTCTTTTTTTTAGGAATTTGGTGTAAAACATATAAAAAAAAAATTTTTGTATATGTTGAATATTTTTCTTAAATTCTTCATAATTTCTAAACGTATTTCTGTCGTCATCACCTTTTCACTATCCAAAAAATCAATTCCAATTTTCTATGCCACAACTTCGCCTTTCTCTTCGCATTTCCGCAATGAAAAAATGAAAAAATAGAAAAATAGAAAACTGGTTACCTCAAATTATATATATATATTATGATGATGACGTTGTTGTTGTTGTTGTTGTTGTTGTTGTTGTTGTTGTTATTGTTGTTGTTGATGTTGATGCCGTTTTGGTAGTGAAACTAAAAATTCCCAAAACAACGTATAAATACATCACAAATACATCATGACTACATATTTTATTCATTGAATTTGATCTTCCTATGAAATGAGTGAAAGATAATCTTTTCTTTAACAACTCCCCAAAGACAATTAAAAGACAATGAAAGAATATATTAAAAAGATTGAAAGGGATCGTGGATTTCCTATACAAATATTTTTAGATTGTTCTATTTGATTTTTTTTGATGATGATGCAATATTTCTAATATGATTATTATGGAAATAAATTTGGAATAAATTAATATTTATTTAATAAAAATAAAAATAACAATTAAATACAATATTTAAATTACATATATTTGTTTAAAAATAGAAAATTGATATTTGATTGAATTGAATTAATAATTTGTAATAAATTTATTTTTCAATATATTGAAGGTATGAGTTAATGCAAGATTAAAAAAAAAAAAAAAAAACAAGGAGGAAAGATTTTGAAAACCAGATTTCATTATTTTTTTTTGTTTACTTCAGCTGAAAACACATGAAAATATTATAGCAACAAAATTACTATTATTATTATAATTATTATTATTATAACAAGAAAATAAATAGTGATTATGCCTTTATACTTACATCTCAAAATCCACAAACAAACAAAAAGAAAAATAAATCAAAATTAAATAATCCTTCAAATTAATCTTGACAAGTATCCAAGAGAGTATTCAAGAATATTCAAGTAGATACTCATTATCATACCAATTGTTTTCTCTATCCGCAGTTAAAAAGCCACGAAATATTACGACATACCTTCTATATTCGCTCTCATAGTTAATATTCAATAACAACTTTGATATCCTGAATTTTTTTCATTGTTCATTATTTTCATCTTAGCTCACATTCCATTTTTTTTTTCAGAGTTCCATTTTTCGATAATTTTTTTTTTTCATCGTTATTTGTTTGACTTGGTCAGTTGAACAAAATTTCGCCATTCCTGAAATCTTTGTTACACGAAAAAAATCGTATATAAAGTTGTTGCGTAATCACCGAAATCTTGCTTTAGATCAGTTTGTGGCTGGGACGTCAAACCTTTTTTTTTAAAAAAAAGAATACATTAATGATTAGGGGGTTTGGTCAATTTTTTTTATTTTTGTTTTATTTATTATAAATAAACAATGTAGAACTCAATTTTTCTAACGAATCGAATTAAAAATTGTCAGAATGTCAGGAGCCAAATGAATGAATATTGTTTTTTGACTAAAATTGGTTATTAAAAAAAAACAATGTATACACATCATCTGGTTACATTTTTAATTTAAAATATTTATATTTTGATAAACCTTCTTAAATTCATTATACTGTAAAACTGGCATTATAATTATCTTATCAAATTTCAACATTATAATCATTTATTACTATCTTATCAATTTAACGTTATTACTGCCTTATCAATTTTTATCAATTTTTAACGTTGTAAATATTATTAAAAAAAAATAAACCAATGTTAATAAATTATTTATTAAAAAGTTGTTCCAGGAACGTTACGCGAATCCATGTAGAAAATTAATTGAAATCATAATTTATTTTGCGAGAAATAAACATTTACACAACTTGAAATTGCCAATATCAAAAATTAGTGAAAATATTATATTTTAGTTCTAATAATTGCACTGCTAACCTGTCTCTTCAATTTTTTTAGCGGTGTTAAATATCATTAAAAAAGGTTATTCGTCTTTTTGACCAAACAATTAATTTAAAATAATGTCGGCGGTATTTCATTTAATTATTTACTGGTTTTTTCCGTGTAGAAAATTAAAAACCTGCTTTCTCGCGAAAATCAGCAATTCATTCGTTATCTGTTATATTTCACTAACATACTTTATTTAATATCCGAATTTATATAACCCGCCACCACTGTATTATTTTTCTTTCATATTTATTTATTTTTTATTTATTTAAGTACAGCATTATCAAATTTTATTTATTTGATGTTTTTTAAAAACAATAAATAAAAAATACCTAATATTCATAATTGATAGAAAATGTCATGCATATATAAAAGAAATCAAACCGGTCATCAAACACCTATATTATTATTGTTTATTTTATGAATTTTCGTTTTTAATATTTGTTTTGTTTAAGTAGCTCAAGAATCAAATTCTTTTTTTTTTGCGAAGGTGACTCTCCCCTTACCCCCAGCGTAATTTTTTTGAGTTATGGATCCAATAATTAAGAAATTGTAACAATAGAGAGTCCTATTCCTCCTCGATTAACTTCACAACAAATAATTAAGTGAATATTTCAACAGAAAGAACAAATTCGATTAATCACCAACCTAAAATACACCAAAATTAAAACGAAATCACGTGAAAAATCGAATTATAATAAATTGTAAAAATGCATACTAAAAATATACAAAATTAAGTGAATATTTTCAGCCGAAATTAAAAAAAATACCCACCAAAATCGATATGAGTATCACGTGTAAAATAGAAATTGATAATAAAATTTAAAAAATGCATTACTAAAATATCTACCGTTAACTGCACTTTAGAGATAATTTCACTATTAGGATAGCACATATTACTTTTGTAATATAGTTAGGATTTTTTTTTTAAATAAAAAATAAATAAAAAGTAAATTCCAACAGAAAAAAAAAAGGTGATATTGAAGTAGAAAAGGTTACTAACGCTTTACCATTTGTAAAGAGATGAATTATTATTAGATCTAAATTGAAATATAATATGAAATTCAACAATTATGAATTGCACATTATGAGATTACTACCTTTTTAAATAATTAAAAATTTGCAATTTTTTGCAAGTTTTTACAATTATTACAATTATGTAATCATGTCATTGTTTTGAAAATTAGTAACTTGAAAATAATAATTTTATTATAAAATATTCTCTTTCTATTTCCTGCATTTGATACTTATTTTCTGTAAAAAATTTAAATTATATTCGATATTTTCTGTCAATTGTTGAAACTAGTTTAACTAGTTGAAAATACACAGGTCAAAATATTACCTACAATATTTGTTACCTATAAAATTTTTTATAAAACTTAGACTAAGTCAAATTCAAAAGTTTAGTTTTAACTTCTCAAGTTTAAGTATATAAGTTAGACTCAAGTTAAGCTAAACCTATATAAGCAAAGTTTGCAAACCTTATAATGAGTTCACAAGTTTTATAGTAAATTCACAAATCTTATAGTGAGTAATCAGATGGTAATGAAATTAATTTTCATTTACTAAAAATCACTGGTTAAAATTTGACATATTAGTACTTATTATCTATCAAATAGATATCCAATAGGTATCCAATATTCATTTATATTACACTTATCAAGTATCTGATAAGTGTAATAATTGTTCCAAATTCAGTTACTTATAGCAAACTTATTGGTCAAATATATTACATACAATATTAAGTACTCAGTTTTAGTCATTTTTTTCATTATCTATTAGATATCCAATTTTTATTCACTATTGAAAACCTATCTGTCATATATTTTCTTTCAAATAGGCATCTGATATTTTATTTATATTGTATTTATTGAATCTCCAATATTTTATTTATTACATCTATCAAGTTTCCAATAAGTATAATAGTTATACTAAAATTTGATTACTTATTTAGATTTTGTTTTTTAAGTTTCAATAAGACCTTGCCTCAAGTTTATTAATTAAAAAAATTGGTCAGGTATCTAAATTACTGCTTAGTGACTTTTTATACTATTACAAAGGCCTGTAAAGTACATCTCACTTACACAAAAACCTATTTGTATATTATTTAGTTATTAAATTTCACAACTTATCAAAATTATATTGCAAAGATAAAACTCAAAGAGATATGCATGCAACATATTAAACAAGAACACTTGACACAGGTCAAATACAAAAGAATTGCCATATCAAAAAGGAATTTCAATTTTAGCTGATTAATAATATAGGATACAATTTTTAACTGATCTATAATATAGGAATTATCATTTAGTACAGTAATTCTTTTGTATTTAACTAGTGTAACCTCAGTATGTTAAGGTCTTACTAGATGTTCTTTTGTTACAAAATTCTACAATAAAGTTATTACTTATGTCATAAGCAAATCTATTAACATTATTACTATTTACATAAACCAAAATAATAATTATTTTATCATTATAAAAATTATTATTAATATAGAATAAATTAAATTATAATCACAAAGGTAAAAAAAAATATAAAACTTAATAATATTTTTTAATTATAAAAAAATAAAAAAAAATAAAATTAAATAAAATTATATTTATTACAAATAATAGTAAAAAAAAATTAAGATTAAATGGAATATTATTCTTTCTTCCTACTGATATTCAAATAATATTTACTTTTACTTCAAATTTTAATCTTTTTATTTTTCACTGATCGAAATAAGGAATATTGGATATTATCATATACCTATCGGGTTTTCAATAAGTAATAATAAGTGTTTGATATTAATAATTATATAATATATTAGATATCTAATTGGTAAGATCAAAATACAGAAGTTCAAACACTTATTAAGTTCATATTGGTTTTATATTGGATATTAATATTTTGACATTTTATTTAAATTTATTATTCATATATTGGACACCTGATTTTATTGAGTATATATCTTTTATAAATTGGCCATAGTATATTCTTATATATAAGATATGGTATATCTCTGTATATCGAATAGTTTTTTTTTTCCTATCAGATATCTATCGGTACTTTTTATTTATATATATATTTTTTTACTTTTTTTTATTTGCAAATAAACATAATTTTAGTTTATTATAAAAAAAGATAATAAAATAAAATACATTTATTATGAAAAATATAAAATGAAGTATATTATATGCTATATAAAATATTTATACAGTCAAATTCCTCTGAATGCATCTCCTCTGAATGCATAACTCCTCTTAATGTATATTATTGATTTGGTCCCATGGTAGGACTTAATGCTTATTGCATAATCCTTTGAATGCATATGCAATTGAAATTTTTATATAATAAATATATCTTCTAAATGCATATATCACGTGATATATTATAATTTTGACCAGAGCTAAGATTAAATTTGTAAGTTCGAAGTAATTATTTTTTAATTTATTAATTTATTAAATAAAGATCATATAATATGAGTGATAAATTTTCATTATGCGTAATATAATATTTAATGATCGAAGTTTAATAAAGTAAACTTACAAGTCTAACTTATTATCAAAGTCTAAATTATAACAAAAAGTTTAATTAGTATAGAAAAATATAGAACCGTTTTCTTTATTTAAGTACTTTTTAAATTATTTACATTTTATCCCACTCATACACCTTTTTCTATTGTAAAAAAATAATAAAATCTCCTTTATATTTTTGATTACACTCTTATACCACATTTCTAATTAAATAATCTTTCAAATTTGTTTGTACAAGTGATCTCACCTTCAATATTCTCAATACATGTTGAATTTTCATTAAACTAATCTCTTTTGAATAATTACCTTCTTGATTCAAAAAGAAACGTACTAATATGTCAAGTGATTCTGTTGCTTCTTTAATTGATACTGGTAAAAGTTCTGAACTTTCATCCTTATTTTCTATGTCATTTTCTTCAGTTTCTCTTGAACTGCAAACAAGGTCAACAATTTTCTCATCTGTGAACTGTTCATCAATTACATTTTCATTTTCTGGATTTAAAAAATTATCAACTTTCATAGGATGTCGATAATACAATAATTATATATCTTGATTTATTACTACTATAACTTCACCCTCTTCTTCAATATCATCACTTTCTACTTCAGTTACTACCTTTTCATCTCAGATTTTGACATGTCAGAAACAATTGATAATTGTTATGGGTGTTATGTCCTCTTGTCATAATTTACAGATAAACAAGATTACCTCCAAAATTGATAGTTTACATAAAATTGACTCATTTTCAAATTGTTCCAACAAATGTCATACAAATTTCCTTCAATAATGTATCTTGAAAGATGCAATTATCCCTGCATCACAAGGTTGTAATCGTGATGTTGTGTTTGATGGTAAAAATTTGATAGTTGTATTATTCAATTGTACACCAGTAACTATATGAGATAGAGTATTATCAAGAAGAAGAAGAACCTTCTAGCCTTGCATTTGCTAATCAAAATAATGCAACTATTCCTGAAACAAAATAACTATCATCCAAGCTTTTTTATTGTATCGATACATTACTTTAAGGTTTGCAAAGTTAACATTTTTAAAATAACTGGACTTAGTACTTCGACCAATAACAAGTAGTTTCATCTTGTGTAAACCATCACCATTACAGCAAAGAACAACTGATAACCTCTCTTTATTTTTTTTTATCTGCCAATTGCTGAGTAGCCAATGTTGTGTCAAGTTCCATCTGATAAAAAAATTCAGTTTTATCCATATTGTAGATATCCTTCCATGCATAACTGTTTGTTAACTGTTTGAGATTGGTAATGGTTTCTCTGATTACTTGTTCATTTACGGAGCCACTCTCACCATGCATTCGAATTTGTTTTAAATTGTGCCATTCTTTAAACTGACAAAGTCAGCTATTTGAAAATGTGATTTCGTTCTTGTTCACATCAAAGAGATTTGCAAAAACTTGTACCTTTTCTACTAATAATTAATCTGTTAATAGTATTTGTCCTTGAGTTTGTAGCACTGGTCAAAAATTGATAAAGCATACATATATTAGGTACCCGATGTGTTATACCTGCCACCCAAATTCAAAATCCAAATGCCAAAATCCCAAATGCCAAAATTCCAAATCCCAAATCCCAAATTATGATTAGTATTTTTTGCCAAAATTTCAAATCTCAAATCCCAAATACTAGTAATTTGGGATTAGGGTAACACATATATGATATGTGTATGTTTTATTAATTTTCGACCAGTGCAGGAACCATTCCAGTAATATTTCCTCAAGTTCTAGAAATTTTACATTTCGGGCATATTTCTGAAGAGACTTGTTCAATTTATCTATATCCAAGAATTCACTTGATCATTTTAGTACTCGAGATATTGTTGTTTGATCAATTTTAACTTTAAGTGTCAGTTCACATCACTTAACAAGATCTTTTTGAGTAATGGCAGGATTATCTCATTTTTTCAAGCAAATTTCATGCTATTGGAGATTTGTCAAAACTGTTTTTGTCATAAAAAAAATAGTTAAATGTTACAAAAAAATATTTGAAATGTCCTGTGCTACATATTGTTTATTTTTAATTATAAAATAAAAATAAAAGTATTTTACAACCTCTATTGTTAAAGAAAAAAAAATCATACCATTAGGTAACTATTATGTGATCTAAATCTGAACCAATGAACAGTATTATGAACTAGTTATATGACTATCCCTCTAAATACATAACTTCTCTTAATGCATACAATTTACATGATCCGGACAATATGCATTTAGAGGAGTTTAACTGTATTTAAATCTATCTAATTTTTTTTTATTTTTTTTTTATTTTTTTTTTTCTTTTTCCTTTCCTTTTTGTTTTTTTTTTTTACTACTAGTTTTTACTTTATGATCATTATTGTAAAATATTAATTTAGTTTATTTTTATTATATTATTTATTAATATATTTATTATTTATTTTTAATTTATGTAAATCAAAGATCATGTAACAGTTAGTTTACCAGGTTGACTACCAGATAGATCACCTAAGTAAATTACTTGTTGCACATAACAGGTGGACCACCAGGTTAATTATCTCTTGCTAAAATTGGTAAATTATTAATTTGGTAGATCATAGCGTACAGCAAATTAAAGAAATATAAATATGAATCTTCTTTGATCTGAAAAGAATAGTTTAGAAGTTCTATAGTTTTCAAGAGTTTAAGAGATCAAAACAGAGTTGTTTCTTTTAGTTAATACATAATTTAATCCTTTAATATTTACCTTTACTTTTATAATTTCTATTTTTATATTATATTTTATCTTTATATTTATTATTATATTTATT